GTGGGATGCGCATTCCCCTTACCACATTGCGGACTTCCGTATTTCCAAAAGGGTTTTGTGATTTCCAACCTAGCTCGCGACTTACAAACGGACGTTTCGCTTGTCCAAAGAAGAATCGCTATCGCGTTTTTTTGCCTTTAGTCACCTCACCACAGCCTTTGCTTACTGGGTGACAAACCTGTCTTCTAAGAGGACAAGAGCGCTGGACGCTAAATAAATAACCCCCCTCCCCCATTAGCGCTTGATTCATTGACTGTTTGGCCGTAGGCACTGGGAAAAACAGGCACTGCCCATCGCGCGCTCCCATCTACCCCATAATCACCCTTCGTATGATTTAAATCTGCAGGGGCTGGACCGTGGTATACGAGGGCAATCAGTCTGCCTTCAAAGTCCGCCGGTTGACCGAGGCAACAACCTACTACTTCCGTGTGGTCGCTACCAACGTCAGCGGAACGGGTCCTCTCTCGACCACTCTCTGCGTCAAGACCCCCTATGCGCCTCCACCTCCGGTTAAAGGTATGTCTGCTTCAATCATCCTACTGCTGTGTTCTTATACTTGTAACTTTCCTTTCTTCCGTCACGAAAACCCTCAGCTGCTTGGTCTTTTTTTAAAAATGCCACTTTACGACTACGGTTCGCCTTAGCCGGTTTTTCCCATCTTCTCTACAACAAGTTTTAGGTTGAGAAAAGTTATTAATTGTGCATAAATGAAGGACGAAAATATTTCTTCTGGCATTGAAAGTCATAATTACCTACTGCTGCTTCTTTTCAATCAAATGGGTTATTTTTACAACATTTGCGCTGAGCTCGACATTTATGATTCTGTAAGGAATTCTAAAACTTCTTAGTTCATTTGGCGAAGACAGGATGGCGAAATTTCCCTGGGGAGAAAAGGGTACAACTGCGAAATAAGTGGAGGTATTGATAATTGCCTATGTGTCGCTTCTTTGTAAACTCTGCGCTGATGCATGCAACTTACGAAGGCAAGGCTCTGCATCTTCTTCTCACTTCTTCACAACTTTTCTTTTAAAGCTGCATTCAAACTTAGAGAAGTATTTCGTTTTATGTCATAATGAATACTTTTTCAAAAAAATCGAGGGCAACAGTAGCTTATGTAGCCCCACTCATTCATCCCTACAACCTGCACGTTTTCCTACGAAAACGGTGGTTATAGGATTTAATGGGTGGGGAATTGGGACACGCAGTGGAGTGTACTTTAATAAATGCTAAATGCATTTTTATTTTACTGTATTTAGAAGTGTCGTTTATTTATATCTGTAGATTTTCCTAATTTTTATTATCATTTAACTTATTGCGGAAAAACCCAATTATTAAAATGCAGGTTTCTTGAATTTCCCAAAAAATTGAAATGGTGGTTAGGAGGTCGTCTACTTCAACTTACCTGTGGTCCGACTCACCGTTCTGGAGTTGGATTAGTAAAGTCCGTGCCATTTGAAGGCATATTGCTCACTGAACTGTTACTTTTAAAGACCCGATTTTCAACTGAGTTGGATTTGTCTAGCTTAGCTACAAGTTCTGAGTAACAATGTAAACTGACCTGGGACTCGATTCTATTTTTTTAAATTTCCCCATTATCACTTCGATTTTGGTAATGCTCATTTTATCATCAAGGCCCCAGTCTTTTGTAGAGGATGGAGAATTATTAATCTCAAATGAACAAACCTATTAGGTATTTGTCATAGGAGTATTCCGGCTCAGACAAGGCACCGTGATATAGCT